AGAGAAGCACAGGGTCTATATCTTTAGATCTTTTATTGAACTGCAAGCCCAGCATCAATAACTGTTTCTCAGCTGTAAATGAAAATTGATTCCAGGTTTAACTCCTCATTTGCAGGGGTTCCTTTAATTCAGAGAAATGTATGGAGAAAAATTTGACAGAAAGGAAAACTAAAGGTTCAGTGGTACGAGGTGAGAGCATGTGGAGAACACAACGCATTCCCGCTCCCCACCAACCTGTCCCAGTGGATGAGGCCGCTCCCTAGCCAAACACAAGCGGGCTCCTCTTACGCCACTGCCAGCCCTGGTTACTGACGGGAAAACAGCACTGAATAAGTGTGGATGCCAGGGTTGGATTTACGTCTATGGTGCCAAGAGCAGCAGATGAGAAGTGAAATGCAGTCATTTGGGCAATGGATGACATGCGAGCCCCAAGCAGCAGTCATGCTATTGACATTCAACTTATTTTGAAAACCAAAAAGAACATATTATAACATGCATGTTTATGCAGACACAAAGTACATAGCACTGTGCTGGATTCCAATACTTTTCTGCAATTCTGTAATACACAAGGTCGATTTCAAGTGATTATTTCTCTCATCCCAGGGTGGCTCTGGAAAGCGAAATGAGGTGAGTACGGCATCACAGTGGAATTTTACGTAAAGCCTTTCTCTAGCAGGGGCTCGAAAGGAAAACTAAGAATGTCAGTCAAAGTGTGGGACTCATCTATCCATCAACCTTCTGAGGAAAAACGTTTAGAGATGTGTAATTTTCTGGGGGACTTGATGTGGCGTCATTGGCAACCTGGCCTTTGTTCCCTGGGATCTCTGCTCTAAAATTTTTCAGGACTCAGGGAGGAGTTGAGTTTGTTCACATGTGGTGGATGACTTTGGGAGCTAGTTAGGACATTCAGTCCAGTTCCTGGTAGATCCCTACCAACAGCTAGGCTAAAATGAAGGGGAATGTTTATTTCCTCTTGGATCCAAAAAAAGGAAGATCCCCAGTAACATTTACAAGGGCCACAAGGAAGAACAGGCCCTCTTTATCTACTGCTTATGGTTTTCAAAGCACTTTCTTGTACATGATCTCCATTTGACCCTCACAATGCCCCTGTGAGCTAGACAAGGCTGTTTTATCCTAGTTTACTGGTGATAGATCTGAGACAGAGATGTTAGGCAACTTGCCCAACGCGATGCTCCTAGTATGTGAGGTTGGGACGGAAGCCCAGGCTTCTTCTCTATTACAAAGCCACGCTCTTAATGACAACACTTAAAATTCTCATCGCCAGCCGCACACAGCTAATGGCAGGACAACACAGAACCTTTTCATTCAAGTTTTTCATAAACAGGCTGTTTTCCAGGTCTGTAACTCAGCACTACTCTTTATCACCCCCTTCCTTCCGAGAAAAGGAGAAGAAAATATATCTAGAAACTCAAAGGTTTTTAGATCAGTTTCAGTAGTAGTAGCAATCCTGGTAATTATCATGTCAAGGGGTAAGCACTTACTATGTGCTACACTTAGTGTCAACTGCTTTTGTCTGTATGAGTTACCTAGTCCTTGAACCCCACTGAAACCCAACGAAACAGGTGCCATTGTTACCTCACTTTTATGGTCACTCATATCTGCTCAAGGTCACCCAGTTTGAACATGTCAGAGCTATGATTCGAACTCACATCTATGCTCTTCGTCCTCCCTCTCCTATATTGTCCCAGCATTGACACACCATCTGGGAACACACTGTGTATGTCTGCTTCCCAAATAGACATAATAATGAAAAGAAAACGTGACAGGTGATGCATATGGAGTGAACATGCACATTTTGAACGAGATTCGTCAGGGTCTAATATTTGTCACTTTCCCACTGAAATCATGGATGTACTTGATTGAGTATCTCAGACTGGAAAGAATCATTAGAAGGTGAACTCTTTTGTGGAAACTTTTTTATTGCAATCTTGAGTCTCCCTGATTAGGCGTCTTCAATTTGTATACTGTTATTCTCCCATTCTGGCTTCACGTTTCATTCTCCTCCTTAGGGAGGTAATACTTAGCTTTTGAACGTATCTTAATTACTCTGTTGGTTGTGGTACACAGGGCCTGTCTGCCTGCTCAGAATGGCTACTGCTGCTGTGGAAAAGGTCAGACTTGCGTGGGAAAAGGGAAGATTGCTCTGATTATAAGATACTGAGTACCAAAAATGCCAAATTGGAACCTGACATGGATTCTCGTCATAGAGAATCCTTTGGAAATGCATCCTCTTGGGATTGTTTAGACTCCAACCACAGCACAAGAGCTTATGAATTTCTTTTGAAAAAGACTGGTGCATACTCTCTAAACCTGGGTAATTGGAGTTTACTCACCTGTGTCAGGGTAAAATGATTATGAATGAGATGATTTGGAGATGTTTCCAGAAAGCGAATGGCTTTTTATCAGCTATGCCATGCTAGCATGAATTCAGCCACTGGGACCTGAGAATGCTTCTAACTGTGACATTGGCTCAGACCAATGGTATGGTCCAGGCTCTTGGGCACATCACTTAAAGTACAATGCTTTGGTTTGTATACTGCTCCCATCATTCTGCCACAAACAGAAACGACTGTGCAATTCTGTTGCTCAGACAGGAGGCTGAAAATTACCTCTAAGGTTTATGTTGAGTTCTAAATGAGACAAAACATCTGATTTGTGCCTGGTACAGATCAAAGGTTCTTCCAAAAATGGGAGTCTCAGTACACCTCATCCCGATGTCGCTAGATATATGACTGCCACAATTCGAAGACAAGGGAGTGGCATTGTATTATCCACATGACATTATGTTATCCTAACAGACATGATTTGGGAAGTTCTTCAATAAGGTAAACAGAATTATTCTAGGACACTGCGATTTCTCTTCTACATACAGGTGTTAAGAGCCAAGAATACATCCATGACAAAAGCTTGCAATCAAATGTTCATAACAGCATTATTACCAATGGCAAAAAGGCAGAAACAATTGAAACATCCAGCAACTAATGACTGGAAAAACAAAATGTAGTTTATCCATGTTATGGAATATTATTTAGCCATTAAGCAGGATTAAGGTTTTTATATATGGTTGAATTCCATTTACATGAAAGAGATGTTATTTTGCTCATGAGGACAAAAAATAGTTTGGTGGTGGTCAGGAACTAAAGGAAAGAGAGAATGAGAAGTAAGTTAAATGCTTAATGAGTATGAGATTTCCATTTGGGATTATGAAAAATATTCTAAAATCAGGAGTCAATGCACATTTTTGTGAATATACTAATTGAACATGAGGAATTTCATTTGCTACTACATTGTGCACTTCAACATGAGGAATTTCATGTTAAGTGAATTTTACTACAATAGAAAACAAAATTATGTTTATTAACGCAACTTTGGAAGATAATGGTAGACCTCATAAAACCAGAACTCACCAAAATGTGGCTGCTATTATTGCCACCTTTGCTGTAAAAGCTCACAACCTTTTAACTCATCCTCAAACTAGGGATGGCTAGTTTGCAGACACTATAACTTTGTGCCCACTTCTTGCTTGCTGGACTCAGGGGTTTTTCATTTTGCTTGCCTTGAATTTACCAGTTCTACTTCCTCATCAAATTGTGAGAAGCTAAGCCTTGTTGAGGAAGACATAACCAGTATAAGGGCAGGAGATCAGGAATGGCTCCATTCATCAATCTGATCATCTGAGGGTCTTACGTAACATCAGCACAGGTGCACTGAAAACCTGGCTGACTCAGGCAATGGGCTGGATGATCCTTATTAAGGTAAGTGCAGAAAATGACTTTATGAGCTAAAAAGCAGAATGCATTTATATAATAACATAGAGAGGAGGAAGTCAATATGTACAATATACTTTCACTTATTGTTGAAGTCAGCTTTAAACATTTCCATTAAAAAATAATGCTGCACCTGTCAAAATCTATGATCTAGGTTGTTTTGTTTGGTTTTTGTCTTACTTACGAATCTTATGATCTTGTCATTGATGTGTAAAATGCAGAAAGCAGAAATGATCACAAATTAAGTGCACACTTTACATTTGCCTTGAGGTTCACAGCTCAAGGAGGAAGGAGACTGTTTTCATTCTGTAAATGTACAGAAAGCCCCTAGCAAGCAATCATAAAATTGGTTTAGGCCAGCGTGGTGGCGTCCACACTTACTGTGTGCATATTCTCGATAAAGTACCCAAACTACAAGTTTCACTTTTTTCATATAATCAAAATAACAAGTAATTTTTCTCTATTCCATATTTGAGGGCATTAGCATACCCAGAAGCACCCCATATACAAACAGACCTCCCTCACAGAGGAAACACACAGTCAACATTCACACCACATGATGCTGCTGTTCTCATGAGTCATAAAAGCTATGGTGGCCTTTTCAAATCAAGAAGTCCCTTCTCTTTGGAAATGCTGAAAGCAAACACTCCTGCCTTCTCCTTTGCTGGGAAAGTACTGGAAATACTTATGGAATGCAGAACGTAGGACAGACAAATGCAGCAGCAAGTTTCTGTCAAAAGCTGCTTGCCTGAATGAGCTGCAGGGTGTGAGGTATTGGTTTTCAGCTGCATTCAGAAGTGGGGCGCCTGGGAAAAGTGATTGGGGCAGTCCCATTGATACCTAATTAATGAGTGCAGGCTCCAAGCCACCCTGTGGAGTCACCAAATGAACACTAGTCTTCACCCTAGACAAAAAAGCAGTTCAAGGGAAGGAAAGACAACCTTTCTTAGTGATCACCTGTATTTGTGCATGGAAAGAAGAGAGAGATGGGGGAGGTAAGGCAGTTTTAGGGAGTGTTCCATCTTCTTACTGTAGCTTTAATGAAAGCAGGAGTTGAATGGACCTGCTCCAGAACAGGGGTCCATCTTTGCTCCTTTTTCCTTTCTCCAAAGCCCAGAGACAAAGCACCGAAGTGGCCTGTGTTTGGCAAAACCATTCCAGTTCTTTTCTTCCCTCTCCTCCATTCCCAAACCAACCCTAAGCTGCTCCTACCTGGTAGAGCTCCGTGGCTGTGCACTGAGTGGTCAAGGTCTTCACAGGTTCAAGGTCATCTTCATCACTGCTCAGCTTTAAGTCATCTTCAAGCATCCTGCAGAGAAATCAGAGTGGCGTTCACATTAGAAAGTGTCTTTTCTAAATCCCCCTCCGATACATTTTGTAAGGAGGGTAAAACATTGAGCTACTGTCTGATAGCTGTGATTCTGTCAAAGGTGCAGAGGGAACCAAGATTCTTTCAACTAATTAGATATTTGAGCTCTTATATTTATGTCACACTCCACACATCTTCCCCCTCTACATTCCCCTAAATCAAGGGAGAAAAGACTATTTCAATGTCTCCAGAGATTACTGGAGTCTATATATTTTTTGACTACTAAAAGTGCAATAAATGTACTGATCAATCACTGTGTAGGATCCAGGTGGGACACGGCATTGGATCCTCACAGGACAGGGTGCTTTAAGTCTGCCTCACAAGAATAGGAGTATGCTAATAGCCCCCAGCTCTAGAGCTGTTGGTGAGGTCTGCTGGGGTTCCCTTCACGGAAAACAAAAGGCCCAGTGGACTTTCCTTTCACAGCCCTCCGTTGCTGGACAGCTCAGTGGCCACGAAAGAGCTGAGCAAGAAATAGTTAATGGTCATTAACCTTTTGATATATGATTCATCTCTTTCTGCAAAAGTTGATCCAAGAGCTGTAAGCCCATGATACGGATAAGAAATCTTTCTCTCCTAAAGCAAGGTACCTGAGAAATATGAGGGGTCTGGATCTGGGTGATAAACTAGCACTTTCAAAATTGTTTATTGAGCACACTAAGTCTTTTGTTTCAACAGTGGCATTAATTCTAATGCCATCTATCCTCACTATCACCAAGATTGAGCTTGAGCAGGAAAATGGCTTATTTTCATTAATATTCCAGGTACACGGCCTTCAAAGATCAATTGTTGTTCATATTTTCATTTATTAAATACAACTTCAGACTTCTCACCAGGCATCGAAGAGGGGGGCAGGCTCAATCTCCCTGGGCTCATTCCCAATTCCCAAGCATGCCATTCTCTTTCTTGCTTCTAGGCTCAGCTCCAAGGCTGGAATTCCACTCCGTAAATGTGGCATCCTACTTCCTCCCCACAGCTTGGTCACATCCCACTTTTCCACAAACATTTTCTAGAAAGGATATGGTTTTCCTCTGTTGCCTCTTCCCCTGTCCCTGGGTAAATCACACTACTGTTTTCCACTCATGCCCTCTGTCCCACCAGTCCTAATTCCCAGAGGAGTAGTCGGAATACTGTATCCACCACTGTCTTGATCGCAGTTCCTTTCCAAGAATAATACATTTGCCCAGTCTCATTTTGTAGACACAGAAAGAAAGGTTCAGAGAGGTGAATCCTATATCTAGTTAGTGCCAAAGCCAGTCCTAAAATTCTCATATCTGGATTTCTCACTATGTATGTTTTTCCGGGCAGGGGAGGACAGCAGAAAGGAAAATGCAGCTTCTACTTTGATGAATAAAGGAGGTTGTTATGTTATGTTAGAAGTTACATAACAGAGAGGCTCAGGTTAGAGTGGGTGTACCATGATTCTCCTAAGGGAACTCAGATCTCTCTCTCACCCTCGGCTGCCTAGGTTGGGGATGTGTTCTCCGAGGTATGAGAACCCTGGTAAGAGAGAGAAGGGCTGATTGGTGGGAAGGCCAACTGGTAGAGTTGGGTTCACACAAACAAAATTTCTGGGATTTATGACTATCCTTCACAAGACAAATGGATGTTTTGAAGATCTTTGACAAGGAGAAAAATGTATCTTGGTATTTCTTTGAAGTTACAGGCTTATGATTCTGACAAATAGTTTTTTATAACAAATTATGGGAAATGAAGACTTATCATTCTTATAAGCTATATAATTCAAATATTTAAAAACCATCCCTCTTTATCATTACAAAAGGTTTGCCTCTCTCTCTCTCTCTCTCTCTCTCTCTCTCTGCTTTATGTGTGTGTCTCAATACACATAGGAAATTTATCCATGTTATAAGCGTTGAGCTAGGTATGGTGGTATATGCCTGTAGTCCCAATACTCAAGAGCCTGAGGCAGGAGAATCACCATGAGTTCAAGGCCAGCCTGAATTGTATAGGGAAAACCTGTCTCAAAAAACAAACAAAACCCCACCAACACCCCCCCCACCAAAATATTATATCTAAGTGTTGGAAGAAATAAATGATGAAAGGTTCCTACAATTAGAATTAGTGCAATCAGAAAAAGTGCAAAATACTTATCAGCTATACAGAATTGAGTCGTGATAATGACCCTATGATGATGGTCTCTTTGTAGCCTTACTTTCCAGACCACGTCTCTGAGGCTTAGAGCAATTACAGAACTTGCTCATGATAGCACAGCTAGAAATAAATCATGGAGACAAACATGGGACCCACATGGTCCCCAGGCAGAATTTAAGAGTATATAATGTTTGTCTAATGGTCAAAATTTATCAAGTAAAATTAACAGCAAATATCAAAACCAGGTATGAAACATGGTGAAACCAGGTGAACATGGCATGATTGCAGGTTAGTCAGAAGCCCCAATACCTTGGAGATGTCACATACCAGCTGTGAGCCTCATCTGGGTCCCTCATCTATTCAATAGAGTAGCACTCTGGCTGTCTCACAGGATGATGGTAACAAGAGCTAACACATGTGAAGCGCTTTATGAAAACACAAAAAGAATGCAGGGTATCTTAAGTTTGGAAAGATGCCACCTTGGTGGAAATCAATGGACATCATCAATACAATTAACCAATTATCACAAGGCGAAGTCTCTGTGCAACCCGGCTCCTCTCATGTGAATTTGCTCAACTGGAAGGTAAGCCATGGTGACTCGGGAAATATCTATCACCATCTCAAGGCTGGCTTTAGGAATGGGTTCACTGTATTTAGGTTCCTATTCTTCAGGCAGAACAAATGCACTCAGAGGCAGAGCAGCAACCCCCAAACTCAACGGTTATTTCACACCTCAATAATGCTATGGATTCCAACATGGAAATCAAATGCCCTCCAATGTGCAATTCTGGAAATAGGCAGGCAGTCTATACAGCGATGGACATTAACACTCGCCCATGCAATAAACTCATTATGAATTTGGTTGTTAATAAAGGACAGTTTGATGTATATATTCAGGTCCTAGTAAATACAAGTCAAGGAAGTAAGTAGGGAGGCAAAAGCTAGCTACTTATCTCAGGAGGTATTAGGCATTCATTTCATTCCCCTCCTTCCCTGACCTATTAAGCTTTATTATTGAATATACATGCACTTGTTTGCATTTTCATCCTTGTCTAATGCTGAAAATTACTCTAGGGAAAGCATAGGATTATGAAAGATTTTGAATTTAATTATTATTCCAGCACCATTCACACCCACTGCAGTTAAGTTCATCTCAGCAGAAAATGGTAATCTCTTTTCATGAGGTTATAATTCCACAGGCAAATTTTTCACATACTGTATGGCCCAAAATGTGGAGAAAACAGGACATATGAGTGGACATATATGCATGAGTAACAAAAGTAACAACTGTCCTTCAACTTTTCAAATAGATGAAAGTAGAACAATGTAGCTCTCCTTAATGATTTCAATTGTCAGTTCAGGGACTACTGATTTTCAGTGTCTGTCACTGTATGAAAACACTGCTTTCTTTATTACTAGAGTTTATAATTTCTATAATATTAAGTTGAATAAACCATGAAACTGTCCAAAAAAACTAAGTCCTTTCCCAGAGGAGATGACCCTATAAAACTCAAAATAGTACATTTGCAGCAGATGAGAAAACAGAGGCTGGGTGTGATGGCACATACCTGTAGTCCCAGCACTCCAAATTGAAGCAAAAGGATTGTAAATCCCAACCCAAACTGGCCAATTTAGTGAAACTTTATCTCAAATTAAAATTTTTGAATATACTAGGTTCAACCCTTAGATACAGACAGACAGACAGAGACAGAGACAGGGTGACAGAGAGACAGAGACAAACAGAAACAGGTAGAGACAAACAGAGAGAGACAGAGACAAAGACAGAATTAAGGAGGCACTGAAAAAGGGAAAAAGACTTCTGCCAACATCTTCTCTGCTCCTGTATCTCAAGCTGAAACCCAAAGACTCTGCTCTGGAGGGTTCCTGAGCACTATGATATAACAGGTTTCATGTGAGCTGTCACCGTTAACTCACAAGACTACTTTTCATAAATATTGTCAACATCCATAGTAGAATGCTTAGGTGATTTCAGAGAAAGAGAAGTGCAGGGCTTAAACCCAATGAAGGAGGAGTCTATAGACATGAAATCTTTGGTTGAGGCAGCACAGCACGGGAGGAGGAGCACGCACTGTATCGCTGTCACTTGGTCATATGGTGGAGATATCTATAACAACCACAACCCTTTGTCTCGTGGGCAAACTGCTTTGGATATTCAGGATCTTAGTAGATAGGAAGACTTGACAGTTTGGAGTCGCTTTGCTTCTTCCGGTACCTTCTACCTGGTAGTCTGAGTCTTGTTTTCTGGAGTCCACACTCAGAGACCAGACTTGTAAAGGTGAGGAGCTGGAGCCAGAGCTGCTGCAGGATAGAGCAAAGCTGTCTCACTCAGGTTTTATGCTCTCAGCAAAGGTGAGTAACCATAGCTTCTGGCCCAAAGATTTCAGGAACTTCTGCTCACCAGTTTAGAGTACAATTGCCATCCGAATTACCCAGAGCTGATGCTACCAGAGTAAGTTTCTGATGGTTTCAAATGCATCACACAGTGGGACTTGGAGATAATAAAATACCCCATAGAGGCTAGCGGATGCCTGAGGACTTGTCCCTTCTCACCAGTCTGCTGCTGCAGGAATTTTCTAGATTAGTAACTTGGTGCTTTTGAAGCTTTAATGGCCCTTCCTTTTCATAAAGCAAGCCGTAAGGAATGAAACAAGGCTAATTTAGAGTTACTCAGGGAATCATTTTTTCCTACCTAGTTCTCTAAATTCTCCATACCACTGAATCATTTGCTGGTGGTAAGGCAGATAGGTGACAAGGAAGAGAGTTGTTATTTCAGGAAGAGCCACATTTACATTGCCAAGGTTTTAACT